CTAAGTGCAATGAGGGCCTGCCTTCTCAAAGAGTTTATACTTCTATAAACATTGAAGCATTTTTTACTTGTGAGTTTCAAATGACTTGTATGTATGCCTTTATTTATCTCTTCTCCTTAGGCAGTTGAGCAAGGCTTGGGAGGGCAAGATCTTTTTGGCCACTGCCCTTCAGCCACGAGAAATCAACTTGGTATCTCACAGTGAATGATGCATATATTTTTTACATGAGCCAATGGTGGAAAACACTACTTTATCCAGTACAAATAAAGCCTTTATATAATATGAAGTCTTTATATACATGTGCTTTTCTTACACATATATGTCTCCCACACAACCACATGTAAAAGAATATACACACACAAGTAGTCCTTTTTTTTCAAACACTGTGGGGTGGTAAAATAATCACATAAACAGAAACCACACAAGTAATTTTAATAAATATTAGTAAAATTATATTGTTCCATTGCTTCTAAAATTTATTAAAACATTCTCCAACAATTACAAATGTACAGGGGAATGTAAAAATATTTAGTATACTCTAATTTAAAATACTGAGAATTAAAGGACACAAATTGGTTACTAAACTTATCAAGAACAGTTTGAACAGAGTTTGCCATCTTCTGCTACAACTTATGATAGGAAGCAAGGATTTTTTTCTATGCCCTGGTGAATTGTTCTACTCCTTTCTAATTTAGAATCAGCCCAAACAGTGTATTCTTTACACTTTCAATAGCATGAAATATCACCAAGAATCCCTTTAATGTAAAATCTTATTATGCCAGTATCAATTACTCATCCTTTATGTCACATCTACTTTCCTCATTTATGTCAATGAGTTTGCATCCACTACAATCTACTAGTGGGCTATCAAGAGTGTCTTAAATAGCAGCAGTGTCAACATTTCCACTGTTAGCTATTTTTTTTCTCAAACTCCATTAGGTTCATTCAAATTTCACTTGTAGCAGTACACTTTTTGCTTCTCTTCTGTACTTTAATCTCTTTGGCTAGCTCCCTCTTTTGATGATCTACTCTAGTGAAATGTTAATTTATAACTGAGTGGCAAAGAGAGCACACAACTACATATTATGTATATGTACACTAATACTATGTATAAATTAATGAACAAGTGCAGAGTGACAAATCACTGACACTGAAAACAGTAACATGATTGGTCACCTATCATGATATTCAGGCTATGTGTGCAGTCATTTATGAATTGAAAAGTGTGCAAGTTACTTTATGCAATTAATCAGTTAATACACCCTCCAACGTGAAATTTGTACATATAAGAACTGACCAAAGCAAGGACTATCTAGCTATCAACCATATAGGATTGATACATACTAGAAGATTTAAAGGTAGATACATAAATCGTGACTTTACTTTGGGAATTTTTTTCAATTTAATTATTTTTAAAGATTTATTTATTTATCCCTCCCTGTGGGACAACAGGTTAAAGTGCAGCACTGCAAAGCTAGCTGCAGCCACTCTAGTGCAAGTTTGATCCTCGGCCTGGAGCTGACCCACATAGCATCGCAGCCCTCTCCTTTCTTGCCTACTGCTCCTCTCCGCAGTGTATTTCAGTTCTACTCTCTCCCCACTCTGCTCTGGTGAATATTCTCATCCCCTTCATCTCTGGCCTACACCCTAGTCCTTATATAAATATTACAAAAAGACTATTTATTGATGACTCACAGTATATACTTCATAAGTGAGAGAGTTGGAAATACTATTTCATACACACACATATACATACAACACACATACTTCCTTCGTGTTAGAACATTTTTATTTAAGAGTAATAATAACTACAAAAAGAAAAAGAAAAATTGAAGCCTTGGTTACTGACTAAAAGCCACTGCAGCAAACTTCTGTCAGTGTGAATGAAGGGTGAGGGGATTAGTGTGCCACCAGGCAGTGCAATCAGTCACTTCCTTTTTGGGTTATACAGAGAAAATAAGTATGAAGACAAAAAGTATCAATTAACCAAAAATACAGAAAAAATTTCTGAGTATCATTTTTTGATTAAACAAGAAAAACTAAAACAAAAATAACAATCCACAATCACAACATTGCCTACAAGGAATTATGCTAAGCACTATGAGAATACTAAGTTTTATCAGAATTTAACCTTTAGGAACTTACTGTTTAATGGGAAGATGGGATAAACATAAAAGAGGTCAGTAAAGTTGAAAGTAACAATCATAAGAACAATAAAAAGATAATGCATATGAGAGATCAAAGAAGGAAATGACTTCATGAAGGGGCAGCTTGAGATGGTAGGGATGGACTGAGATGTAGGGGATGAACTGATAAATATAAGATTAGACATTCAAACAAGAGGGTAACAATATCAATTATTAACAAATAATCCATTATGTGAGGTAATTTAATATAAATGAACCCCGCCTACACAAATTAAATCTGCCTAATTACCACCACTAAAAAAAGGGCAAAAAACCATTTTGAGGTAGAATTTCACTTTAAAATGTAATAATTTTAAGAAAATTTCAAAATATTTAAATTAAACAATTAAATAACACTATAAAAGTTTATAAGAAAATACCTACATTTTTAATTACATTATTTTAAAAATTTTTAAGTAAAATTATTATGTTGAACATTGATTATATTGAACAGAGGATGAGCAAAATTAAACCACTTTTTTATCACTAGTCCTACCTCAACACTTAACTCAGGAGCAGGAAGGATGTTTTAATAGAACAGAATGTCAGTACAGTCAGGAAACTGAAAACAAAATATGCGAATGAAAAATATCTACAACTGAATATTAAAGTGTGTATTCACATGAGAATTAAAACAAAACAAAACAAAAGAACAAGAGCTATGCTCCCGTGTAACTAACTTACCAACATAAAATGAGCAGTTGGAATGCAACAGACTTTCAGTCCATAAGCGACAAAGTTCACTTTCAGTCAGAGCTTCAACTCCATAACAGGCTTGATACTCCACTTTTGGTAGTACATAAACTGGAAATTGCTACAACACAATGTTATACTTTTCAAAGCACCATTATTTATTGTTAACAGCAAATACATCTGCCTAAATAGCTTTCCTACTTTGAAAATGTTTTAAGGAAATCATATTTCATCCTTTGCAATACAGTGGAATTCAGACAGAAAGATGAATACATTTGAATCTGATGAATACAATCCTGGTAGATGAGGGGCAGGCTGGCATAGGGAAGGGAGGCAGAGGTGAATGTGTAAGAAATCTTGCACCAAACACAACTTCACTCCTCAACCAAAATCAATATACCTACAGAGGCATATAGTTTATTTCAGTTAGGGAATGTGAGTGACAGCAGAATTCTTTGAACAAGGCCATGGTCATTAACTGATGTTCAAAGATTCAAAGATGGACATCAAAAAGTAAAAATTATAATATACACTAATAATTCTCAAAGGAATAAAAAGTTTCTGCCCCTGTAAAGAATAGTCACAATGTTCTCAGGCTCAAATACTCTGAGCAGTTTGTTTTCATTCTGTAACTGTATGACCACTATTACTGCACTGACAACTGTGATTGTCATTTGCTTCATTAATACAAAGGTTTTATTCAAGATACTAAGTGTCTGATAACCTATTCATTTAGAGTTTACTGGTCAAGTCACTAACTAGATTAAGTAAAATGTTCATAACTATTATTTGTCTAAAGGAACATACGTAAGGAAATAGTTTTATGAAGTAATCCAATGTTAATTATGTCTACTGTGCTCACATCTTATTTCTGTCAAAGACAATTCTATTCTCAATGGTACCCCTTCATTTACAACTATAGGAGAAACACATTACTTAAGGAATGGAATTGGCTAGTTAGTACATTTGAAGTTATGCTATGCTATCACTGTTTGTAAATGAAAATGTCCCATATATATTTCACAATTCTTGAATTCTGAATTCCAAAAGTGGCAAAAAAATTACGGGCTCGGCACAATGGTGGAGGTAAGAGTAATTCAAAGCTAGTAAAATTTATATTAACGGGGCCTCCCTGGTGACACAAAGGATTAAGTCACAGCACTATAAAGCTATGTACAGCCACTGCAGCACAAGATGGATCCCAGGCCAGGGAGGGGACTCTCTCCTATCTCCACCCACTGCTACCCTCAGCAGTGTATTTCAGTGGATCCACCTGTTCTGCTCCCTAGTCTGGCTCTGGTGAACCCTCTCACCACCTGCACCCCAGCTTTTCTTGTATGCATAATAAATAAATCTTTAAAAAATTTTCAAATAACAAGTGTGGCTGTTATGATTACCTCTGTATATGTGTAATTCCAAAGCAGTATTTTTAAATTTCAAAGTGCACATGAATGAACTGATAATCTTGTTAGTGCAGAATCTCAGGTAAAGATCAGGTTTAGTTTTTTAGCAAGTTTTTGTCCCAGGAGTCCAAACTCCAAGTAATAAGATCCCTACAATGTCTGATCAATTAAAAAATTAAATTAGAATTAGAATAATCTTATTGCTAGAGCATTTAATTCTTTAGCAACTGAAAACCTGCTTATGACTTACAGTTGCTTAAATTTAGGGCAAATAGAAGCTAGAGTTAAAAGGAAACAATGGTTCAAAGGATTAGGACATTTGCTTAAGGACACAATTTACAGCAGAACTGGAAAAAGTGTAATTGATAAAGAAGTTCCCCCTACCCCCACTTTAGAACAGAAATGAATAGCAGCTAATCTTAGATTTCTTTAAAAAAATATTTCTGAAAAGTACTTTGGAGGTAATTTCTTTAATACTGACATTAACTATAAAACTAATTCCTGAATCTAGCTTTATTTTCTGTATGTATTCTACTGCCATCTCCAGGAAGTAAGGGGAAAGAAACTTCTGAGTATTTTATCTTAGTATTACAAAATTAAAGTGGAATTTTAGGTAGTTTTCATAATGTAAAAAAATAAATTCGCTATTTCTTTTCTTTCTTGATTGGAAGATCCTAATTTCTAATTTCCCCAAGAAAGCTTTTTTTTTAAAGACTTATTTTTATTTATTTATGCATACAGGAACTGGGGTATAGGCCAGAGGTGTGGGGGTGGGAGAGTAAGAGCATTCCCTAGAGAGATTGGGGAGCAAAACAGGCAGATCTATTGAAATACACTGCTGAGAGGAGCTGTGTGCAAGACAGGAGAGGTCTGCTGGGCCATGGTGTCAACCCAGGCTTCAGAGGCTGGGGACAGAGTGATAACGCTGAGACTTTTACCCCCTGTTTCATAATGGAGACCCAGGGAAGCTTTTCTTCATTCTCTAATTTCTAACTTTTCATATAATCTTTATAAAAACTTTAACACATATTTCTAAACAGGTATTTCATAGCTTTGTGCTGTCGTTGATCTCATTAGATATATTCTATTCTTTTCTACATTCAAACACCTCAGGGTTCCTTTTTCTGGACCTCGAATGACAATATAAAATTTTAAATAATTGAACAAAAGCTAAATTTTGAACTAAAGCTCTTGGAGAACTTAGCTAAGAAAGACGGTAACAAGTAATATCAGATCATTCAAAATTACATGATCTGGATTTCACCAAAAAATATAGTAGTCAGTAAGTTCCAGCTTCATCATATGCCTCAAACTGGCCCTCTTCATTTGATTCCATCATTTGAGAACACTTGTTTTAAGTTTTCCTCCTATTAATCAGTTTTGATGAATGATAAATTATATAAGAAACGAAAATCTCAACTCTAGTAACAAAGAACTGAAGAACCAAGTAAAAACAAGAGAGGTGAGGTGTTGCACATTGAAGGTTCAAGAAAATTCCAAGTATTTAAAAGTTTTATCTAAACAAGTTGGCTGTAAGGTAGTAAAACATTAATGAGGATGCAGTCTTACCTAGAGTATAAATAGTACTCTTTAAAATTTCTCAAACTAGTGCTGCAACTTTCTTATTTTCTTCAGTAACTTCTAATTGGTTTGCTATAGTATAAAACATTTGGAAAAACCAGATGAACAGGACATGATTCCTAGGGAGCATACATTCTACTAAGAAATTTAAACCATTTATTAAATTATTACATAAGATGACAGATGCAATATGATAATCATTCACTAAAAATTTTATTTTTCTGGGTTTGACACAACAAAAAATATGATTGCTATTGAGAAATTCTGTAGGGCTCAGCTGTCTTTGATATGTTTCCAGAAGATGAGCCCCCAAGTAAATCAGATAGCAAGAAATAAAGAAAATCTTGAAAGTACAATGCACAGCATTTGTATTTAAGATGCTCATGCAGTGGTCATTAAAATAGTCACGATAAAAATTTTTGGTCCTCCTGGTGGCAGAGCGGGTTAAAGCACAGCACTAAGAAGCTAAAGCCACTTCAGCATAAGTTCGATCCCCAACCCCGAGGCGATCCACATGGTGTGGCAGACCTCTCCTGACCTGATCACTGCTTCCCTCAGCAGTGTACTTCATTGATCTGCCTGTTCTGCTCCCCACTCTGTTTCTGGTGAATCCACTCATCATCCCTGCACTTCTGGTCTGTACCCCAGTTCTGTATGCATAAATTAAGTCTTAAAAAAATTTTTTTTTAATATTTTATCTAGGAGGAACTAATCTCAAACTTTAGACTTTCTCTTATATAGCATATACTCACACACATTTAATTTCAAAGTACTTATTTGGTTTTTGAATCTAAATCTGAACCAGTAATGCAAACCAAATTATGAGAACCAGGAATTAAGTAATTTAATTCCTACTTTTCCTTCTATTTAACAAGGGATAAAAACATAATAAAGGGAAAAATTTGCCAAGTCTACTAGATTCTAGTGGACTGAATTTACTTAGGTATATACATCTTAGATCCTGATGGGTAACTTATGTTTTTTCATGATAGTTTCTCAACACTGTTATTAGTAGTTTGGTGCTTTTCACCAAATATAAGAAAAATACAAGTCAGGGACTTGATCTACAAAGATCAGTGCTGGAAAATAATTATCCTTGATTTGTCTCCTCAACCAGCCAAAACATACTAACAACCTAAGATGGTGATTTTGGATTCTTATTGAGCTAGATGTTAGATACAAGACAAAGACACTCAAAACTTTAAAAAACAAAACCAGAAGTGTACAATAATAAATATATACAATATAAAAGTTTTTTAAAGGAGATATTCAGTATTTCTTATAATTCTTACCAAAATTCACACAATTTAGTGACATACAATATACACTAAACTGAACAAATACTTCAAATATCATATATGAAAAACTATTTAAGAAACATTATTCAAAGTGTTGCAAAAACTTTGAGGAAAACAGTTGTATCAAACTCCAAAATAAATGACAGGGTGAAAAAGGAAGCAACTTGGTCTTGTAGCAATTCTGAGAAGACTTACCAAAAGTGTATGAAAACACACCTTTTAAAATAAGGACTTCAAGAAGATCCCAAAGTAAAAGAAAAAAAGTTCTCATGTCATAAGAGTAAGTAAGGAGGTTCGTGCCAGTCAAATTAATGCCAAATTCATGATGGTACTATTTTCAACAAAGTTTACATATCTATGTAAAAATGTTATTGGCATTTATGACTAACAAAATACTTTCTCTTACTAGAAATGTTTTCAGTATTTTACTAGAAATACGATCATGAAAGTCATCGACAAAACTTCATAATAGTGCATATTGAATACTTGCTAACTATCTAATTATGCTACCACAACCAAACTTACTCTTCTGATTTTCTTCCGTTTTTTAGAACGTGGTCTGGTCTCTATCCTCTGGACACTGCATCGCACCAGTAACAACAGGTCTTGCAGGCTAAATAACTTGTAAACAAAATTTCCTTCCTGAGGAGCTACATATTCTGAAGTATCTTCAACATAGTCCTGAAGTTCATATGGCAATCCTTTAAAAACAAGTTTATTTCTCATTTTTATTTTAAAATACATTCGTTTTTTAAACATCTATCACAATTCAAGATCAAACATTTGATTATCACTTTTAAACTTCTATCAATTAGTTTTAAATTTCTATTTCCTATCAGTTGACTATCACACTATTATCTTTTTTGTTTACTGCAACTGCACCAATAGCTAAAATCAAAGCTTTAAGGTTGCTTCTGTCAACTACCACCTTCACTAATTCTATGTAAAGAATGAACTAGTGAGAAAGCTTCTAAAGTGATGGGGAAAAAAGCTTCAAAAAGTAATTCAATAGGAATCCTACATTCTTATGTTCATTGCAGCACTAACAATCAATAGCTAAGATACAAAAATATATACAAAATGAAATACTACTTAGTAATCAAAAAAAGATAACTCATGGTTAGAGCTGGCAGGGATTATGCTTAGTGAAGTAAGAAGGAAAAAGAAAAATATCAGATGCTTCACTTATAGGAGGAATATAGGGAAACTAAACATAAACAGATAGATCACCAAAAAAAAAAAAAGACAAAACTTGTAGGCATCTATAGAGGCTTAAGGTAGGGAAGGGGGGAGGGAAAAGGAATCAAAACAGGTAGAAAGAACAGGTGGTGATTCATAAGTATTCTGCTGGTGAGATATTTATGGGGACTTCACCTGAGAGGAAAAATCAAGTACTGTGAAAACAATATAAAAAACTTTAAAAATTAATACAGGAAGAAAAAAAATAATGTTATTCCTAATTGAGGCTGTACTGAGGTGCAGCTTCATAACTATTTCACAAAATGAAAAAGAACAAAACATTAGCTTAACATCAATAATACGTACATTTTAGATTAAGGTTTATGATCATTTTTGATACACTTCATAATTTTGGTGAGCCACATTATACTTTAGTAACCACTATACATTAAATTCTGGTTACAAAATTCAAATATTTTTAGGTACATAGAAAAGATCTTGGAAGTTGAAATACTGATCAGTAGATAGAAAAATGAAATATCAGTAACTTAAGATGATAAATAGGTTAAACAAAGAGAAAGTAAGAGAAGAAGAAAAACCTGAGCATAAGTAGACAAAATAGTAAATATAAAAATTCTCTATAAAAAGTACTTACTTCCTTTTGGCCTATGAAATGCAGAAGGCCATACAGATCTTGGCCAACTAGAGGTATCTGAAGAAGCATATGGTTGCTCAAAAACAGGAAGTTCTTTAGAATTTTCTAAATTCATTAAGGGCAATTCAGGTACTTTTCTGGAAATGGGCTTTAAGAGTTCATCCTGCATTTTTAAAATTTCTCCAACTGGATCAAATTTTTTATATACTCGTTTGATTGGCTTTTTTAAAACACATGACTCTTCAGAACTACTAGTATTATTCTGGTTTCCTTCAGAAGACTGTCCTGAGGAAGAAACTGGGTTAGCTATGATATGGTTAGAATCCATATCAGCTGTCTTTCCATTATTATTACTTTGACACTCAGTGTCAATGATTAAACAGTCTTCATCTGTATCACTATGACAAATTACATCTTCAGGTTTATCTGCTTCTGATGCCACAGTCTTTTCCTTTGCATTGTCTGTGTTTTCTAGAACCGGATCAGTAGTCATAGAATTTTCATTAGAGGTTTCAATTTCCATACAACTTTCTAGCTCTATAGCAGACACTTTCAAGTCACTATTTTGCTTCAAAGATTTGTCAGAATTTGATACCTTTTCACCACATGGTACATATCCCTGGTCATCTTTATTTTTGTTCTCTTCAGGACCACCATCCATACCAGTCACCAACTGTTTTTCCTTTTGCAACTGTTCCATTAGAATGTGAGATAAACTTCTGGAATTAGCAGAAATGTATGGGGCAGTTGGTGCAACAGGTGTTGCACTGGTTGCTGTGGGAGTATCTGTTGTGTTGAGCACTGCAGAAGTGCTGGCTGGAGTTGGCGAATTTGAAGGTTTAGTAGTGGTTACTCCAAAAGTTTCAAGTTCTGTGACATCATCATCAAAATCCAGATCCAAATTTTCAAGAGGTTCAATTTTTCGGTTTTCATTAACTTCATAAGACATCTTAAGAAAATACATTGGCAAACAATTAACAAAATTCCAGACCACCCTTCACCTATCTCTTAATGTCCTTACCCATCACAGGCACAGATCATGCTCTTTAAATGCAAAAACAAAGTCTAGTGGATCAGAAAGGTTCTCACTGAATATAACAAATTACTGGCAACTAATCTATCTAATGTTACCTTCTCATTGAAATGTTGCTAAAACACAAATTCACCAAATTGTACTAGCATGGAAGGAAATATTTCCAGTTACTACATCCAAGAGAAATTTCCATTAATCAAAAAATAGGAAACATTGGACCATCAAGAAATAGAAGAGTAGCAGTATCAGTGTGAGACAAAGCAAAACTCATTAGGTAGAGAAAGAAACCTATGGTGAAAAATGAAATTAATAGTATAAAATGGTCTGGCCTTGAATTGTGACATGCAAATAACACTGTCAAAATACACAATTTAAACTGAGAAATAAAAGGAAATTTTGACAGAGACACAATTGTACTTGGTCCAGAATATACAGTCTCTAAGTAACAATAAAAAGGAGCACAGAAAATATAATATTAAGATATCAATACAAAAATATGTGGATGATTAAAAAACATGAGTACATTACAAAGATACCTTTTCCCTCCCAAGAATCCAAGGGACAGTTCCAAAGACAGACTATAAAGTAATTACAAAAACAAAAACAAAAAATCAATATATCACAAAGCAGAATACACTATGATTTTGCTTTCAGTTTGGAGGGGGGAAAAGTTAGAAGTCATTAAGAAAAATTTAAACCAACAATGAACTAAACGTACGGAAGTTAAAAACTAACCTAAATTATTGGTAAAAGAAGTTAAAATGATAATTACAGAAAACTCTAAAAGCAACAAAATCTGGAACATTACACATTAAAAATCAGAACTATTCACAGCATTTGCAAGATCTAGGAAAATAAAATAAAGAAATTTAAAGTCAAAATTTAATTAAAGGTAATGCTTTTATTCCCAACAGAAAAAATTCTGATAAAAATACCTAAATTATCTCCAAATATCAATAATCTGTGAATTTTAACATGTAAGGGTATAAGGATTCTTCAATAAAACAATCAATAAAGGCCCTCCCTGGTGGCGCAGCGGGTTAAAGCACAGCACTGAGAACCTAAACCCCCTTCCGCATGAGTTCGATTCCCACCTGCCTGGGAGGTGACCACATGGTATGGCAGACCTCTCCTGACCCGCCCACTGCTCCCCTCAGCAGTGTACTTCGTCGATCTGTCTGTTCTGTTCCCCACTCTGTTTCTGGTGAAGCCTCTCACTGCCCCTGAGCCTCTGGCCTGTACCCCACTTCAGTATGCACAAATAAATAAATCTTTTAAAAAAAAAACAAAAAAACAATCAATAAAAACATCAATAAAACATCAATAAAAACAGTTCATCATAAAATATCTAACCAGTGTTAAAACTTTCAGTTTTATGTCTTTTGTAATTGTTTACTGGTATCAAGGTTCAATCAAGATTCTACAGTTGGCTAATAAGAGCTCTCAGTTTCTTTAATTTGTCAGATGTCCTCCCCCTCCCCACCGTATTCTGTTAACTCTTACATTCACTAGCTATTCGTATAAGAAATCAGAGTTGTTATGCTATAAATTATTCCATTCTGGATTTTAACATCTGCATCCCAGTTTTTTAACACATTTTTCCATTTCTTGAATATACTATTAAGATGAGTTAGCAATTTCCTAAGATTCAGATACAATTCTGGTTTTTAGCCTGAATGTTTTGTGTGGTACTGTATACTTCCACTTCAATCAAGAGGCCAATGATGACTGGTATCTCTCTCCTTGTGATATCACAATTTATCCACTGATTCATGTACGTCATTAACCTACCAATTATAAAATTCCTCATCGATATTCTAGTGATTGTAGTACCTGATAATCAGATGATGATTATTGCTTAGAATCATTTCATTAGGAGCTGCAAAGTGGTGATGGGTATATCCTATCGTTACCCTGAGATACAGTTTTTATTGGAAAATCAAGATAAATACTTGATTTTTTAAAATCAGTTTTCAAAATTTAGGTTTTATGTGCCAGCATCCTCCAAACAACTAGTTATGCACCTTTTTTAAAGTATCATTGTGAATGATACTTTTCACATATTTCATATTTTAATTCATTGCAGTCATTTTTTGCTATGTTCAAGTTGATATAGCTACAGCCCTTCAAGCTGGTTCTAGTATATTTTTGATACAATTCCATTATTATTATAGAGTTTTTATTTAATATCTTTGGAATTTCTTGTATGCTGAATTTCTTGGTTCTTGACGTAAGTACTTATTAACTTTACCATACTATTTAGTGTGTTCAAAATAACTATCATTACTAACAATCTGGTCACTAGATGCAGTTGAAAATTTTTTGGCAGTACTTTTGAATTTAAACTGTAAAACTTTAGGACTGCACAAATTACTAAGTTTCTAGTCATTTAAAAATAATTCTGATTGGTTAAACTATTAACTTGATATACAGTGGATCCATATCAGTTTTGATTGATTTGTGTAACATTAAAATTTTTATTTTATAGTTATATAAATAATAACATAGCTTAAAGCCCAAACTATGAAGCAAACTACATTCAGTGATTTAGTTGCCACCCCCATTTCTCTACTTGGTCCACGCCTCCCTTCCAGTTAACCATTTTCATTTGTTTTAAGTGTATTCTTCTTTGTGAGGTCTTCTTTTTAAATATAAGCAGACATGTGTATGTATTTGACTTCCTGCCTTCCATAAATAAAACAATCTACTACACAAAATGCTTTCTTTCTTGCCTTTTTCAATTAATTCATCTTGATTAATACCATATAGCTACAAACCTAGAACTTATTCATCCCTTATAAAAGCTGCATAGTATGCTTGAGAGGATGAAGATTTTAGTCAGTCTCTCAATGAGAATTATGTGAATTGCTTCCAATATTCACTAGCATAAATAGTGCTGTAATAGCAATGAATACCTTTTACAGATATTTTGTTCTTTTCTTACTGTACTTCTGAGCTACTTTTCTAGAAGTGAGATTCCAAAGGCCCCAGACAAACACTTGAGTTTTCATCTGTTTTGTGAATATGACTTTCTTCACTGATTAGAAATTTACAGTAATTATATTTTCTCCTTAATACCTGTGTAAGAACTTCAACAGCCCTTTCTTGTTTCTCATGTTAAAGAGATGGGTTTTCCTTCTCTTGTGGGAGGACAACCACATGTAGGAGTATGCCAGAATAGCTTTCTCAGCTTATGTTTCATTGTTACCACAAAATGTTTATATGTGTGTAGTCATTTGTGTGTACATGTATAAAATCTACAGTACATTTTAAGATCTGCTTCTTCTGTTCTAAAAACTGTCCTTTTCTTTAATTAAGTCTTTGTTCTGCTCAACATGGACAGTACCAGAGTTATTTTTCCTAAGTGGAGGTCTTCTAAGGTTCTTAAGGCTTGGGCATTTCAGAACTCTTAAACTTCCTGTGTTCCCCTACATGCACCTATAAATTACAGCCTATCATTCTTATGTTCACTTGTGTTACTCCTCATTCCTTCATCCATTTTCAATGTCCTCTCCATCTGAGATTATTTCCCTTGTGTCTGAAGGACATTCATGAGAAGGAATTTTTCTGGTAGCGAACTCAACTTTCATCTGAAAATATCATGGACTTTTACCATTAACTTTTCAGTTATTAACTTTTCATTGTTTAAGGACATTTTCACTGGTTAGAAAATTTTACTAAGTAGGTTATCTTCTCTTAAAATATTATTCCAACGTTTTCTGGCTTCTAATGTCATTGAGAAGTTATCTGGTCGGTATAATTCTCAGCGATGCACTTTTAAGATTTTTTTAGGTATCAAATTTTGGTTGGTCTTATTACCTTTTTCACACTACTATTCTGGATGCAGTTATAACATTCTCAGTATGCCCTTTACATTTCTTGCTTTATTCTCCATACTTTGTGCTTTATTATAGTCTTCTCAGACCCATCTTATCATTTTATTCTATTTTTAGCTTTATCAAATGTGCTGATAAGCATATTTCCAGGCTCTTGATGTGTACTTACAACATACTTTTGACTTTTAATTTTTTTAGTTTTTTAAAAACTGCTGTTTTTAAAAGTTCTAGTTCCTCATTACAATTTCAGGCATATGAAAAAATGTTCATTATCACTTGTTAATGGGAAAATACATATCAAAAATCATAAGTTACTATCTCATGCCAGTAAAAGTGACCTATATATATATATATATATATATATATATATATATAAACTAGAAACAAATATTGGTGAGGATGTGGACAAAAAGGAATGCTTTGCCAGTGCTGGTGGGATGTAAATTGTTCTAGCCACTACGGAAAGCTGAACAGAGAGTCCTCGAATGCTAGAAATGGATCTGGCATACAACCTGGCTATCACAAGCTCCTTTGGTTCTACGAATTTTCAAGAAAGTTATACCCATTTGTAATATACTTAAGGAGTAAAATTCATACAGGTTTCTTCACCCAAGGTATTTCATTTGTGAGTAAACATTTGGGAGAAAAAACATTTCAAGCCCGACATTAATTTCCTCAAGTACCATACAGCTATGAAGAGTCGGCTTATAGTTTGTGACTGGCAATTCTAAGATTTAATTCTATGTATTATATCTTTGGTAAGTGTTTCTGATGGCTCTTGCTCCATCATATCTAGTTTCCTATGTATGTGTCCACTTATCTTTCAGGATGCTGTATTTCAGAAGTCAGAGAAATAACTTCAGGATCAAAATGTCATTATGTTTCTCTAAGAATTATTTTTATTTGCCTTACAGAAACCAGAAATCCAAAAGTATATGATCCAAGTTCAAGATCTGAAAATTCAGGCTACAATCTCTAGTGAGCTTTACTTTTCCAGTACAGGCTTCAGGCATTGAAATTCTTGGTGGACAACTGACTTTTGTCCCAGTAGTCCTGCAAAGCTGCCAAAACACAAAGTTCATTTCTTGTTGCCTCCTCACAACTAGAAAATCCAATCAGGGCAAAATGGAACAGTGTCTTACCTCCCTGAATTCTGCACTTCTCTAGTATCTTAACCCTATACTTAAGGAATAAATTATATACTTTTCCAATTTCTGTAGCTGTTTTCAGTAATGGGGAAAGTCCTATTATCTGCTCTATCATGACTAGAAGAAGTTATTCTGTTATTTTTTATCCCTCTTAACCTAAGTTCATGTTTCTTCACAGCACTTGTTGTTTCTTAACATTCACCTACTATTGATTTAAATTTTAGGTAGGTGGAAAAGTGTAAAAAGAGAAAACTTAGAAGTTGGAAGTACTTTAGAACACATACATCACAAAAGTGCTAAAAGGCCAATGATAGAAAAACAACATACAAATAAATATGAAAGACGAAGTCCTGTTTGTTTTTATGAACTTTCAAATATACATTACAGAAACATTTTTCTATTTATTTAAAAATTTTGTTTCTCTCTCATGTTATTCAAATCTGCTCATATTTTCTATTCCTGAGGAAAAAGCCTTCTTGGTCATGAAGATAAAGTAGTGCCATCCCTATTCCTCTACCCCTCCTTTAGCTATGTAGCATATGCATCACTACTTGCTTCTCTGCTATTGTTTTACTAATTACCTGCATGCTCGGCCATTAAAGTAAGCTACAAGAGAAAGGTAGTTTTACTTTTGTTTTCTACTACTTCTCAATGCACAGAACACTATTTGTTCAATAAATATTTGTGGAAAGAATAATTTTTTTTTATAAATAGCATGTCTTAATAATCATGGAAAAATACTTTTAAATATAAGTTAATATCCATGGAGTTCCAAGCATTGTTTAAATGTTTCAGATATATAAACAATCCTAAAAGCTAGGTCATATCATAATGCACATTTACGATGGCCAAAATTAGGTAACTTGCCTTATGTAATAGCTACTGAAATGGTAACAGTATGGTCAAATACTGTTTGCACTGAACAAATTCATGTGTTCCCTCTCATACTTAAAAACTCTGAGTATGACCACCACTGGCTTTCTTATACACCTCCTATAATTTATATTCAGTATTTTACATTAATGTCAATGATATATATAATAGCAAATTCAATCCTTAAAACTTGAGTTGGGTATTTCACATTTTATTAAATAAAAAGATAAAAACTGAGGTCCCGGTTAATTTAGTTGCCTAAATTTGAGCTCAACCTAGAGTTCAATGGTAAGTTTAAATCTAAAGGTTATTTTTAATTATTAGATTTAGTGATTTGCAATAAAAATTTGTGTTTCAAAAGGATAAATAGGTATATCTCTTTAAGAAAAAATAAGAAAATACTACATACATCCATTTCAGATATGTACTCTTCAGGTTTATCCATAAACACCGCAGAGACTGGAACAGATGTGCTTTTGGACATCATGAATTTTAATGGAATTTCATGGAAGATTTGATTTCTCTCTCTCATTGTCATTTTCTTTTGGGGAAGTGGTGAATTAATATAAATTACTTTAACTGGTTTTGAACCTTAAGACAGAAATAGAAGAAAGGGTGTGATTAATTTCCAGTAGTTACATATTTTTTTTAAAAAAGGGATGTATGACAAGAAGGATCACTAAATAAAGAGACATAGGATATAACAGTGATAGCTCATGTTCCCATGTATTTGCCATCCTTGAATAAAAAGATCTTTAAAGTCTTGTTAAGATATAAGAACGAGAGAATCTCACTGGCAAGAAAATTCTCTTTCCAACTATTATTTTTATTTAAGTAATGATGTGTATAACAATGCTATATTTCAGGCACATTCTATCACTGAGAATCAATATGCACACTATAGGAATACTACACTGACTTCAATACAAGTTCAATTTTGTCCTTTACAATACTATTGTCTCCCTTTACCTAACTTATTACCCCTCTTCTGGTAACCCTTAATTGGTCTTTCAGTTCAAAAGTTTATTTTCCTTTTATTTAGCTCATGTTTATTTTCTCTATATACCACTTGAAAAAAAATCACATGGTATCTGTCTTTCTGATTTCTTTCACTAATACCATCTAGATTCATCCATGTTCTAATAAATTTTTGAAAGTATTTCCTATATTTCACTGTTATACGTTTATTGTTCTCATTAGTCAATTCTTAAAGACTTTACAGTATATTTTCAGAAAGTGATGAAAATAGGTACCACCCAAGAAGATATTACATTTAACTCTTATTTGTAGTTCTGTTTCATTTGACATAGTCTTTCATTTAAGGTAATTATGTCGCTATAAACAATATTAATTTCTGCAGATATGAAGTTATTAAGTATGAACAAAAAAGGGGAACAATCTGCACAGAGGAATTTATGTGCAAATATTCATTTTACTGCCCATGAAGATACTATTCCACACTTGTAAATACAGACCTAATTTAATTCTGAATTTCAGTAACAGGCATGTAAATAAGTTCTGGGAACTCACCAATTACGACTGTCCAAAAAGTACTTTATTCCTTTCACTTCAGTGAAAGATAAAAGAACTTCATCATTTCATGTATTTTTTGGCTACTCTACACCATAGTTATTTCTTTATCTCTCACCTCCCCGATAATAGAACAGATTCTGTAGCTATAACTCAAGTGACTGTCAATTCTATGCTGGCACTTTATATTAAAAAGCTCTACTTGCCTCTCTGGTGGTGCAGCGGGTTAAAGCACAGCACTGAGAAGCTAAAGCCGCTTCCGCATGAGTTCGATTCCCACCTGCCCCGGAGGTGACCACATGGCGTGGCACCTCTCCTGACCCGCCCGCTGCTACCCTCAGCAGTGTACTTCGTTGATCTGCCTGTTCTGTTCCCTGCTCTGTCTCTGGGGAAGCCTCTCACCGCCCCTGAGGCTCTGGCCTGCACCCGAGTTCTGTATGCACAAATAAATAAATCTTTAAAAAAAAAAGCTCTACTGAGGTGCCCTCTAGTGGCGCAGCGGTTAGGATGCAGCACTGCAAGCTAGGGCAGCCACTACAGTGCAAGTTAAGTTCCCCGCCCTGGAGGTGATCCACATGGTGTGGCAGACAGCTCCAGACCTGCCCGCTGCTACCCTCAGCAGTGATCTGCATGTTCTGCTCCTGTGAAGTTGCTCACCACCCCTGCACCTCTGGCTTCTACCCCAGGTCTGCATGAAGAATGAATGAATGAATGAATAAGCGAATGAATAAATGAATGAATAAATGGATAAATAAGTGAATGAATGAATAAATTAATGAATAAACACACAAATAGCTCTACTGAATATAAATGTCAAATGTACATTTTCCTTAAAATGTAAAACTGTTGTCAAATAGGTTGTCAAATCACAACCTATATTTAAGTAGCTAAAACAGAACATTTTAACTTCTCTTTTGAGAGTTTACGACAAGCTCTATCACAAACCTGCAACAGGTATTACTTGAACACACACTGGAATTTCCCACTGCTCCTTGTAGTTTGGTCCATGATTATTTAATAAGGCAAATAATGATTGGCTAGTTAGAGCTATCTGAGGGTGGTATCTTGAAACAAGTTTCTCTGCATTTGGATCTTTGCTAATATCCTGAAAAACAACATATAACTTGTTACTTGGTTATATTTATTAAAAATTCTTTAATAAAGCAATGAAAAGGAGGAAGAAATTCAGAAAGAGGACTTTAGAATAACCACATTATATGTACTTCACAAGGAAGATACAAAATCACCTTTCTACTTACATAATGCATTTCTGCAGCTGTTTGCTCTGGTGTTTCAAGAGCAGATATGTTATCTTTTGAAAGTTGCAACTTCGCAGGCATTGATGGAAATACTGTTTTCACGTATTTAACACTGCCCTAAATAAAAAAATAAAAGTTTTTAAAAAAAATTTATTGTTTTTTACTTTTTTTTTTTTTTAAAGATTTATTTATTTATGCATACAGAATTGGGATACAGGCCAGAGGTGCAGGGGCAGTGAGAAGATTCACCAGAGACAGAGTGGAGGTCAGAACAGGCAGATTGATAACTACACTGCTAAGGGGAGCAGTGGGTGAGACAGGAGAGGTCTGCCAGCCATGTGGGTCACCTCCAGAGTTAGGGACCGAACTCGTACTGAAGCAGCTGCGGTTAGCTTGCAGTGCTGTGTCCTAATCCACTGTACCAACAAGGAGAGCCAAAAAATGAAAGTTTTACTGCAAAAAAATGGCATTTTTAACTCTAAGAAAATTATCCTTTCATTACAGGAAACTCTTAATCTAAAATTCTTTAGTCTACTAAACACAAATGTCAAATTTAGAGCCTCCTTAAACCAAGATATTCATGTTTATGCTTGACAACTGCCATATATTCTTTAAAAGAAATGACCCAAGATAAAGGTGCCATGGAATTTTCTCTGCATTTCAAGCTCTAAAATATCCTCTCTACTCACACTCAATTCTAATAAGATTGTGAGTTAAATCCCTTAAAATGAAAAGAGCTACCTGTTTGTATTCAGAAATACTAAGAAAGATGGGAAACAAAAAAGAAAATCGACAAAGTTGGTAGTAGTATTTCTATAAGCTGTATGCATAGCTATATAATATTAAAAAGTGACATAAACATAAAATAATGTCTGTGAAATACAGATAGTTTCAGATAAACCATACTGAAAATCTTACCAAAGCAAGAAGAGTTTTTTCTAACTTTAATCCCATCTCTATTCTGAACGGAAAGAATCCCATTAAACTGGTGACTTCATGAAGAGTATAGAATTCTGGATATGTTTTCACTTGTTCAACACAAGCTCTTAAAATTTGCTAAAAAATGAAAATGAAGAGAAATTTATACACAATATACATTTCTGGTGATATAATAAAAATTATTTAGTTACAAGTGACAATATAATTATTCATGCCAAATGTTAAGCTCATTTCATTAATCAAACTTACAGTGATCCACATTTATTAGTCTATTTAATAGTTTTTTTTGGTAATGATTCTTTTTAATCTAATTTCCTATAATACTGAAATATGGTAATACTAAAATTAGTAACTGTATTAAGATGTTAAAGAAAACTCATATTTTATCTGCTATTTAAAGAGACTGTCAAAGAAATCTATGTGAAAATTTTAACACACTTAAGTGCAATAAAAGTAGTAACATAAATAATTAGAAATAGATAAGTTAAACATCCTAAAAAAAATTTCAGAGTACAGTGAATTAATGAAATCATTCTAATTTACAATCTAAAATATAAATGAGAAATGTTATAACTAATTCAAATGCTAGAGTATGTAATGTTTTTTCTCTCTACTTTCAAAATATTAGTGATCTAATAGAATATATAGTTAGTAAGGTAACAAAATTCACAGCTTTACCAAAGCAGAATGCCACTGTGATCATACACAAATTCAGAGAAGCAGAGCAGTTTTTTCATGGGGGGTGGGGGGAGGGAGGAGGAAGTTAATTAAAATACATATACATTATCTTGTAAGACACCCATTGTTTCTTATGTTAATGAACTTAATCTGAATATACTTTTTTAAATGATTCATTTATTTATGCATACAAGAACAGGGGTAATGGCCAGAAGTGTGGAGAATGAGAGGATTTATCAGTGACAGAGTGGGGAACAGAACACTTAGATTGAGTGAAATACATTGCTGAGCGGAGCAGAGGGCTAGACAGGAAAGGTCTGCTGTGCCATGTGGGTCAGCTCCTGTGGCCAAAGGTGGCTGCAGATAGCTTCACAGTGCTGAAATTTAACCCCTTGTGCCACCGGGAAGGCCCTGAAGATACTTTAGATCAAAAAAGCTGTAAGTAATGAACACATCCTTATTTATCATCCTCCTCTTCAGACATTGAAGAGATGTATCAAAATAGAGGGCCCTCCTTGGTGGCGCAGGGGGTTAAAGCACAACACAAAGAAGCTAAAGCCACTTCAGCGTGAGTTAGATCCCTGCCCTGGAGGTGATCCACAAGGCGCCCTAGACCTCTCCTGACCTGCCTGCTGCTCCCCTCAGCAGTGTACTTTGTCATTCTACCTGTTCTGCTCCCCACTCTGTCTCTGGTGAATTCGCTTCCCGCTCCTGAACCTCTGACTTGTACCCCAACTCTGTATGCATAAATAAATCTTTTTTTAAAAAAAAAGGTTATCAAAATACAAATCCATAACTTAATTCCAGTATCTATTTACATTTAGTTTCATATTCCTCTTCAGTCTTTATTCCCTACTACCTTTCCTATTTTTACCTTCCATCAACTCTTTTCTTTTTCCTAAGATTTCTTTGTATTTATTCATACAGACAAGAACTAGGGATGGGGCGGGGAGGATGAGGAATAGGTGATTTCTCATTGGTTGTCATCCAGCTCTAGGCTTATCAGTAAATATATCTTCTCTATCTAAGTCAGAAATGCAGAGGCTTGGGGGGTTGGTTAGGTTTGGGGAGGACAAGGTGTGTGTATGTGTGAAAGGATTCACCATTGACAGAGTAGGGAGCAGAACAGGTATAATGACTGAAATACACTGCTGAGGGGAGTAGCAGAAGAGGTCTGCTGCGCCATGTGAGGCAGCTCCCTGGCCAGGGATTGAACTCAGTCATTTGCCAGTTCATATCTGCACAGTACTTTCAACTCCTAGTTTATAATATTAGGTAACTTTCCCTTCTCACATTCCTGTCTATGGCAGTCACTTCAAGAATTTGAATATGCAAAGGAAGACAACATATGAGAACTATGCCAGCCTATTCTGATTAGATATTTATAGGCATATCTTTCTTGGTCAAACTGCCGAATATTACAGTGTTGTTAATAGAAATTCATTTAATTCAGTAATTATGGTAGTAGAAGGAAAAAAAGCAAGTCAGGTTTACACTCCATTCAAGATACATTAAGAGGAAAATCTTCAAAGACTTTAAATAAATAACCTCCGAATACCTAACGTGAGGAGAAATAGGTACAGTGAGTAGGAGGAAAACCTACAAAATGTGAGATGGCTTGAAAGCAAATAACCAGTTCTAAACAAGATGGGGAGTTAAAAGAAAAACTCCTATATTAAAGCATTAAAAAGTAGAGATTTGAACATACATACAGACACCCATGTTCATGGCAGTATTATTCACAATAGCAAACAGGCAAAAGCAACCTAAATGTCATCTAGGGATAAATGGATAGCCATGTCCAAATTGATGGTGACCTAATCAGACTGCTCCAATATTCTCAGAACTGGTCTCCTTAAGACTCCTCAGTCTGGCATGCAGATTATTTTAAATTTAAAGCAGTGAAATAAGGAAGACACAAAAGAATTCTGTTCCAGTAAATTTCAAAAACAGGTAAAAGAGAGATAGAAGAATTATCCCCCACCCTCAAAAGGCATGAGATGTAGCAACACCAAAGGTACAGAGATTAATCTCTTCAAGAAGGGAGAATGTAATTATCTGGGAGGGGACACAAGGATGGGTTTATTGGTAATGTTTAATTTCTTGAATTGAAGAAAGTCAACATATGTTTGCTATATAAACATTTATTAATCTGAATATAATGGTCTATGTACTTTTCCATAGTTATATTTCTTAAAATGAATTTCAATTTTTAAAACGGCAAGAAAAATTTAGATAAATACTAGTGAGCCTTTGGAATGGAGATATAAAATGTAAATTAGATAAAATGTGCTGCTAAGTTAATCTGACTAAAAAACAAGACTTAATTCTGAGTGCTGGCTACCTAATAATGAACTTTGTTAATAAGTGTATTTAGATCTACTAAATAGATAATTAACTACACATTTATATGTGTCAGGCATTATTCTAGTTGTTGGAAACCCAGCATAAAATAGTACTTATACAGAGATGCAGTGAAAGACAATAAAAAACAAAACAAAAAAAACCATGGTAAGGTTACTGAAGGTGATATTTTTAACAAGTTAATGGGCATCCCTCTCATTATAGTTAACATTTGAGTAAAAAAGAAATCAAGTAACTAATCTATGCAGCTATCTGGGGAACAGTTTACCAGAAGGTGGGAATAGCCAAAGACCTTACAGGAGGACCAGGTTTAGTATATTCAAGAAACACTGAGACCAATAGGTCTGTGTGCAAGTGAAGTGGGTCAGGAGTGATAATCCATAATCCATTGGAGAACTTTGTAAAGACTGTCTCTGATTGAGCAACATACAAAGTCATTGTAAACCAGTGGAATGTCAAAGAATCATCAAACTGGGTCATTTCAAAGGCATTATTAAAACAGCAACAGCATTTGGTGATGGGGAACCCAAGGGGATTGCAACTGAGATGAAAAAAATGCACAAAAATATCTAAAAATAAACTATTATAAAATTTAAAAAAAGAAAGAAATGTATAAAATAAACTCTACTGAGACCAGAGCGGGAAGACTTGCACCTCCTCCCAAAAAAAAAAAAAACAGCAACAGATCCAATTCCTCTTCCGTACAGAAAAATATGACATACTTTTGGGGTATATCATATTTATGTTTAAAGTAAAAAAACCAGAATTCTTTCTTTTACTTATAAGTATTATCCTTCTGGTTCACATTAACAACAGAATTTTACCTTACAGATTTTTTTTAATATTTATTTATTTATGCATACACAACTGGGGTACAGGCCAGGGGTGCAGGGGTGGTAAGAGGATTCACCAGAGACAGAGTGGGGAGCAGAACAGGCAGACTGAGGAAGCACATTGCTAAGGGAGCAGCAGGCGGGACAGGAGAGGTCTGCCACGCCATGTGGGTCACCTCCCAGGCAGGTGGGTATTGAACTCATGCGGAAGTAGCTTTAGCTTCTTAGTGCTGTAATTTAGCCCACTGTGCCACCAGGGAGGGCCCCATTACAGATTTATTTTTAAGCACGTAAGTAATATTGTCTGCTGTTCCCAATTTATAGTGACTACATGTTGTTTTTAACTGTGGTAACAGACACACAAAACTTAACACAGTAGGCATTTTACATTCAGAGGTGTTAAATGTAATACAGTGTGTGTGGTGACATGTTTTAAAGACTTAAATTTTTGACAGCAGTGTTGGTGTTTGTAGATGAACTCTACTATAAAATATAAATAGTTACTATGTAAGTAGTTTAAATTTCTCCTAAGCCCACTGAATGAGGATAGAATACAAGGTAGAATGATTTACATGCTTTACTATTAAATTTACATGAATGATTTAAGACCTCATGGTTGAAATGTAGGGGCAGAGTACTATGAAAATAATAAATATAAATTTATGTGACTAAATTTGATAGGATCTGTCAGATTTTTAAGGGCCAGGATAGCTGCTAAAACACAAATTCTTTCACAGAGGAGATCAGGACATCAGACCAAAGCACCCAAGTGTGTAAAATTTAATTCTCAAACACTTAGTTGGATCAGTAAAAGAAATTAAATGTGAATATCTATAGTACATGAAGTTTTAATACTCAAGTAAATGATGAAAAAAACTTACATACAATTTGGTCTCAGAATTGGTTGATGACATTTTGTATATATTTGTATATTTTTCACAGGATCATCACACATTTTATTATGTGTTATTGCCTATTTACTTGGTAGTTTATGTAAATGTGACTTTTTTACCTCTGTGAAGAGACGGGCATCATCAGAAAGCATATTATAATCCTGTGCACATTTCTTTGCAGAATTCTGCAAAAACTTGAGGAATTCAGTAACTTCTTCATTTACATGTTTTTTCATATCCTGAATTAAAAAAAATAGATATCTTAGAATAAGAAGCTCGGTTAAAACACAATTACTACTTTTATGATTTGGACTTAGCAAATTATTTAAGTATCATATTCAAAACAGAAACCACAAAGAAAAACTTAAAATTACTACATAACAATGACAAGTTCCACAGAAATAGAAAAACAGTTCCTCCCTGGTGGCACAGTGAGTTAAAGCACTGCAATAAGAAGCTAAAGCAACTTGAGCATGAGTTTGATCCCTGCCTGCCCTGGAGGTGACCACATGGTGCTACAGACTTCTCCTGGCCCCGGCTGTACTTTGTCAATCTGCCTGTTCTGTTCCCCACTCTGTCTCTGTGAATCTTCTCACCACCCCTGCACCTCTGGCCTGTACCCAAGTTCTGTATGCATAAATAAACAAATCTTTTAAAAAAAATAGAAAAACAAATGACTAATGTTACAATACATGGTTGAAAATAAGCCTATTTTATAAGGTGCTTTTAATTATTATACAATTAGACTAAAACCACAGGGAAATATGAACAAACAGGTGGTCAGAAAAGAATTAGAAACAGCTTAAAAACACATGGAAAATATTTATTTTCATAAGTAATCACTGTAAATTAATGAAAACAAGAAATCACCATTCTTCCCATATAAAATTAAAGGCAAAAGAAGTAACTCTAATATTAATAAAGAAATTTTTAAAAAGTTTTCACACAACAGTGGTATGAACAGATTGGCTAAAATTTTTTATGCAGCAGTCCACCCATGTGTAACCATAGATCATACTCTTAAAAACTGCATCAGCTTTAACTTGGCCGTTTTATTTTTAAGAATTTATCTTAAGAAAGCAAACCTATATATGAACAGAATTTGCCACAAAGATGTCAGCACAGTATCATTTATACAACTAATTTCAAAACTTCAAGGAACAGACAACTTAAAATTGCTCCAGTAGATTACGTAAAGTCCTACTGCTAGCACTTAAGACTAACTGGAGTGAAACTGCTCAAAACTAAAGCAAAATGTATAACTTGTAAGAGAAACAAGAAGAGTTAATGCATCAATGCTCTATTAAACTCCTTAAATTTTTCATTTTTGTTAATAAGACTGCAAGTAAAAAAGCAAATGTAAAATATTTCCTGAATTTTTATATATTTTAATGAAGCTAAAGAACAGAATACATACCAAGTACTGCAAGTAGTCCTTTTTATTTATTCCAATAGCTTTAGAATTTGAAGGCATTTTGGCATATTTAGCCAGCAATTCCACATAGTTCCTCTGTTCTCTCTGTGAGAAACGAGAGAAACGAGGATAAGGAACTCTTGGTTTTGGAAGAAGAACCATTCCAAATGTGGTTTTAACTTTTTCCTTTGCTTGAGTTGCTGAACTAACTGCCGGTTCATTTTCTACAGAACTTGCTGAGGTATTCAAATTTTCTCCTATACGTCTGGAAAAAAAAATACAATTTACAAATATGTGCTTTTCACATGAAGATTACTTTCATGGAACTTCATGAGTCTCAATCACCAGGGAGAATATATCATGATTAACACAGTGAATTCTGGATTATTATCTAACTCTGCCACCTGCATTTTGATGTTTAGCCATTTGGTGTAAATTAAGTATTATGTAGAGTAAGATCACATTACAAACTTACCTTTCATTATTTTATGGAGAAGAGACATTATCCTTAGACAAGTTATTTAATTTGCAAGATCTTCCCCTTTATTGAAAGGTAAATCAATCTTGCCCATTATATATGCAGGTATTTCATGTTTATATTTTATTACAATGCAAGTTGTTTTTTAATGCTTAAATTCTTTAGTAAGAAGTATCTCTTCATGATGAACAAAAGTTACAACAGGATATGATGGGATCATAAACATGAAGTTAAAAAATTCTCTAATGGTCTAAATATTTTGGTTTCTTCTGCTTTAACTATCTCAAGAATGAAAAAAAAAATTCCAACACTGTGTGCTTTATTTTATGAATAGTGCCTCTGAAAAGTTGTATAATCCCCTATCATTCATGTACAGGGCTCAGTCATTAAAAAAACCTTTATACCTCCTGTGATTGCAAAAGAGAAATCTTGGTCTACCCTTAATGCAATGTACTAGAGAAGAAAGTGGCAAGGAGCTAGAGAATCGGATACCATATTTGTTCATAAAATATTATTCCTAACTTTTTATAAGCATTTTGCCACCCCAATTAATGTATAATGCAAATTTCTTATCTTGTTCATAATCTGCTAGTTGTAATCTGTATTTTTATATAGAGTTTAAATTTCATACATACATGAAAATGACATCTTTGAATCTCTACAGCTCTAATTTTCACCACAGTAATTGTTCCCTATGATTTGGTTCAAAATTAAACAATAATCCAAGAGGACAGGAAGCTAGTGATAAAGATGTAAAACTGTTTAATCACTCTTCCTTTCTCCATTCATTAATATTTAATAGTGACTACCATGTGCCTATCTGAGTATTAGAGCTACAACCAATATTAAGCATAACCCATTCTCCACTATCTAAAACTATTTATGACCAAGTAGGTAAGACAAATGGAGAAGAATAAAAAGTGGTAAAAAGAGAAAACAGATATAGGCATATAATCGATACATATGAGTATGGAGTTTTTAGATTTCTACATGGAAATACTGAATAGGTGAGTGAAGAGAATCCTAAAGACACTGAGATGAAGCATTAAGAAAATAAAAGGGTAAGGGTGAGAAATATCGAAGTACTGTTTCTTACTGTTAACAATATTAGTACCCTCAGGGATCTTTAGAAACCTATGGCTGCAACTGGTTTGTCATAAAAGAGGAAGAGAATTAAAGGCACTCAGAAGTGAAGACTACTACATACCTGTCCTATATGTTAGTGACCTACATGATAGTCAAAGGTCCCTTCAGGTTTTATCTTATCTTCCCACAAGTAAATCTAGTCTGTTATTACTTATCTTAACAATACATTTTATTCTCTTTTGCTTTTCCCAGGACTTTCTTTTGGTAGTTTATCTTCTTTTAAATCCAAATTTATTTATTTTAGCTGATGTATCTGGCTACTTCATTTTATCTTCTGTTGCATGTTGCAATGGTGTATATGTAAATACATAATAAAACACAAATGATACATAATTTTCCTTTTTTCACATTCATATGTCTATGACATTAAAGTTTTAAAATATTTGATACATGATTACTATCTATGAATTTCAATTCAGGATAATAAAAGAAGAGTTTTATTTCTTACAAACATTTGCTATTAAATGCAGAAGGCTTCAGCCTGGTAAGGCTGAGTATCTAGCTAAGTCTGTATCTGTACAAAGGCTGCATTAAGCCCCAACCAAAAATACCACTAATTTGTTTTAAATTAACTTTACTACACTAGAATATGGTAAAAATTCCTAAATTGTTAGAAAGACATAGGACCTCAAAATAAAGCACAATCTTCATACCACATTCTTAGAGCTAAACTACGGATGAAAAATCAGTCAAGAAGGTTGAGTGAATGGGAAAGAATTTTGGAAATTAAAATAAGTATGCTTAGATTGATTTTGAAAATAATACAGATGAAAGACTTACTTAACCACTAGAGTTTCTTCAATAACTGCATGAAAATAAGCATATTTTAGGTTAACAAAATGAATATTAACTGCTGATCTTGGGAGAAATGTATTAGAGCAAATTGATTTCTCACTAGAAAATGTCTTGCCAGTTATTCAAACCTAACGGTATTGTGTCCGCATCTCTTAACAATACTGCTTCACAGCTGTCTCTCTGAATATGAGAACATGTCTGTCCTTGTGGCACAAACTGGCAAATTTAATTAAGCTGCTGCAGCAACAAGATGCTGACTCAGATATGTCAGAGTGGGAATGTCAAGAAATTCTAGCAGTTTAAATTGGCTACATTCAGCAAAGAATGAACTGGCAGCACATCAAGATCATTTCCGTGTGCAGTGCTGTCAAAATCTTCATCAGGGTGTAAGCCAAAAGCATCTGACAGGGTTTCTCTATCCACATTTACAGCATTATATTTTATTTCACTTGATGGTTTGAAGTTTTTCCTCTTCATTTTGTTAACTACCCATTTTCTTCTTTTTACTTAAAGTTTCTATTTAAAAAAAGGGCAGAATTCAAACTTAGTTTCTTATATTCGTCTACTGGTTTCAGTAGTTTCTTTAAAATATTTGGAAATAGGGCCTACAATGCTCCATCTAAAGTCTACCTTTACATCCTCTGAATACAATTTACTTTTTAAAAATTAAACATGTTAAAAATTTTGATAGCTTTTACAAGTTGAAGCTTTCTCCTTTGGTTTAAACTAAAGTATAAGTATCTACAACCAGAAACTTTAATTTCAAAAAAAGTAAATTTTCACCTTGGGTTGAGGGATACAAGTTGAATAAAAACCTCTTATTGTGGGAAGAACATAATTAAAAGTTATCAGTATTTTACCAAAATATGTCAGAAAATACAAAAAAATAGAAAATAAAGATCAACAAATTTTACATTCTACCTAGCTTCTCCAACAAAAAATAACTGTAAATTAAAAATCTGACAATCCGGCCCTCCCTGGTGGCGCAGCG